GGATTTACTACTTTTTTGTAACAACAAACTGATGTTAATAAAATCAAGAAGTTCAGGAGACTCAGCATAACTTTTTTTCTCGTGAACAAACAAGGAATTTTTTAAAAAGTATTTTATGCAACAATACTTGGCGCGGCTGCACCGAAAACAGACAGACGTGTCCTGCACGGAAAAAAAGATTTGCTAGAATAGCAAGAAATTAGTTATTATATAGCCAGCAAAAAAACATTTGTTAAGTTCAGTAAAATTTTTGTTTTGCCAACAAAACATTTTGTTGATGAAACAAAACATTTCGTAGGATCAACTATTTTTTTGCTGACCATATAATAGCAAAATTTTTTTTCTGTGTATACGCACGCGCAAGCTATTTATAATTTATTTCAAAAATCTCTATATAACTTCAACACATACTAGGTATTTATTTTATTAATCATTCTCAAATCGACAAGAGAATTCTACGCGTAAGATGAGAAAGGTAGCCGAACTAAAGATAGCGTAGCGAGCGAAATTGATGAAACACCCACTGAGAGTCATTGGCTGTGGAGTGGAAGAGCTTTCTGATAAGGGAGATGAGCAAAACGAGTTTTTTCGGAGAAGTTTATTCATACAGCAATGTCAGACAATGAATTAAATGTATTCCCTACTTGCATATCATTGTCACGCTCAACAATAATTTTGTCGTGCTCAACAATAATTTCTTCAAAAAATTACGTTTTCTTACAAAGATAGTCTATTATCATTGATGACATTCGCAATAACATCTAACACACTGTTAACGTCTGGTATTACCAGTACCACATACTTTACAATACATTCAATTATGTTAACGGAACAATGATTACTTCCTTCAAGTTTTTTCTGCATACTTCATGTGACAGATTATATGATTTAGATATTGACCACTGGTCTTGCGGTCTGAATGCAGAGGCTGCAAACCCGGAGGTCCCGAGTTCAAATCCGCTCATCACTTAAGGATTTTTTCCGGGGTCCCCTTTAACCGAGTTTATCGGTTGATTGGCGAACAAAATCGGGCCTCAAAAAATTAATTCGGGTGTAATTCTGAATTAATTCCCCTCCCACAAAGCGATCGTAGTCACAACATCTTGAATACGAGCCCCCGACACAGATGGGCACGCCCACTGTGAAAGAAGGCCGTGTATCGCGTGGTAGTGATGTACTGCACAATCCCTCCTTACGTTCTGAGAATATGTAAAAAGACTTAGATTGGCTCTTACAGGCTAAAAAGCCATAAATGCACCAAACCAAACCATGGTTGATATTTTAAGCAATTGCAAGAGAATAAATTTGTGTCCTCTGTTCTTTCACATGAGTTATAGTTATATGATTCTGAACACATAAGAATGATAAATTCACGTATGTATATGTACAAAATTTTGACAATTCTGGAATAATTAATTTTATTTCATCTATACAAAAAAGAGTTTGCAAATGTTGTATTAAACATTCCCAGTATAAGACATTTTTATTTGACAAGTTTGTCAGTGGAGTCAGAATTTTGTATTTTTATCCTTTGGTACTTGCTCTTCTAACATATTAATATCTGCATATGAAAAAGAGACAGAAAATTATATATTTTAGCGTTAGAAATACTTTTCGCGTCGCAACGTAGAACAACTATCCGCGAACACGACAGAACAAGTACTGACCTGACCAGCGGAGGGAAGAGCAGGAAGTTCAAACTCACTATTCACCTCTTGTGAGAAGGAGAACGCTGTTTTCATAGCCGCCTGGGATATGAACCCGGAAGTACCGAACTAAAAACGAGTGGTGGGAGGTTGATCATATTTAAACCGTATCGCGCGCGCGTGACCCGTACCTATAGATACTTATAGATATTAACAATAAATTTAGAAATTTTCTGAGCGATGTCGCGAAATTTAATGTTATTAAAGTTACTTTTTTTTTTAGACAATATAAGAAAAATGTTTCCCAATTATTGTACAGACTGTTTCTAAATTATAATCTTAAAACAGTAAATAACAGTAAATCGTAATCACACCGCTCAGAAACTTATTTTATTTTATTATTATTTTGTGCACTAGAAATATTGAGAGGATATAATCAATATCTTATATGTAAGTAAATTAGCATATATTATTAGGTTTCTCAATGGTTAACACAAAACTTAAAATATAACTACTTGAAAAAGTAGCATACTTATATATAACATTTATAGTATTCAAACTTCACATAACATTTATAGTATTCAAACTCAAACTCTATATGAATTTTTGCTTTTCATTTCAAAACATCCTATGATACATAACTATGTACTTCGGAAAGTTTCCATCACAGAAAAAAGTTTTGAACAGCAAAGAAAGAATTTGCTGGGCCTACTAAAGTTTTTGTTACATCACTAACAAAACGATTTGTTAGTGAAACTAACAAGTAAACCGAACGAAACTTTATCTTCCGTAAGAAATATTTAATGCAAAAACATTTGGCGCGGTTGCATCACGCCGCGATGGACTGCACCGCCCACTATGGTCAGAAGTATTGCCGGAGACTGATTTTCATGCAAAATTTATTTATTTTGTCTTTAGAATTAATTTTTTACTTCCTAAATTTAAAGTATATAGTTTGTCGTTATTTTGTGCCAAGTTTCAAAACAGTTTATTTAAAAAAGTTATATTAGAGATGGTGTCGGTGTGAAAAAATTTGTTTATCCGTTTTCTAAACTAATTTTTTATCATAAATTTAAAGTATATAGTTTGTAGTTATTTCGCGTGCCAAGTTTCAAAACAGTTTATTAAAATAAATTATATCGGAGGTGTTGCCGGCTCGAAACCACTACGCCGCGAGGAACATTATCGGAGCAATCGGAAGTGTTGCTGGCGTCAATAACGCGAACCACTACCATACCTTCTGATTTTTTCTTTCTTTCCCGAACTCACACTTCTTGTCTTTCTTTCTTTTTTTTTTTTTTTTCAACGCGCTCGTATATATATGCCATCTGGTAGCAAACATACGAACATGCACACATTTTGGTTTAACGACGACCATGACAATGACGTTTCTGAAATGTGAATTTTTCACTTTGAAATTTTATCGTCGCATATTTCCAAATCAGAAACACAAACAAAAAGACACAAGAATACTTTTTTGTTTAATGTTTTGTTTTGAAGTAATTGAGACTATAACAAAAGTGATCAGTTTAGTCGTTTTTGAAATATTGCTCTGTGAATATTGCTCTCCCCACGTCTCAAATACCTGAATTTCGCCTATAAGAGGCACAATGTGCTCGCACAATTCGAGCGCTTCTTCGTTGCGCGTGAACTTGGCGCGAGGCACTACCGTGCCTCTTGATGAGAAGAAGGAAAGTAACATACATCACAAGAAAAGTTACTTTCGAAAAAAAAAATGGAACAAAACAGAAGGATCGAAATCTCTTGACAAGAACTCTGCTCGCACGTCGATTGGCGAGGTCGGTGAAAGACTTAATAAAACGTCTAGCCAGTTTTTTGTAGCTATTACTGAAGAAACGTTGCCAGGCGGCGGGCAAGAAATCGTAATTTAAATGGAAAGATGCAATTTTGCCTTAACGCGGAGCGTAAAAGTTTTACGATTTCCCGCATCGCGTCCTGTAGTCAGGCAGAAAACTCGACTTTCATTCGCGCGACATTAGCCAATTTCCGGCTACTCGCGACTTTCATACTCTGGCGAGCTTCTATCACGGGTTTTAATAAACTTTAACGAAAGAAAGAACCACGAGAGTAAAACTTTTCTCATGCAATTAAAGTCTTGTCGCTTTACGAAAAGCTTAATGAAAGTTCTACAAGAGGGCTGCAGAATGCGAATCTAGATCGGTTGGTAAAAGAGATATTGATGAAGGGTTGAAACCATCTTACCCCTTCATATATCGACCAATAAAGATGTTACCGACAAGCACTTTGAGGTTATCGGCGGTTGAAAGCTCGCGGGTCGATATGACAACGCGATGGTTGATAACTTTGCGGTTTATTTCATTCAGGATTAACTGAAGATAAGAAATTTATGTACACATAATTATACTGTCAATATTAAATAATAAATAACATCCTTACACAGTTTTTATATGTTCACTTTGTTTGTACTAATTCAATATGTATTAATTCTAAACACTAAAATCTTTGCTAAATTCTTGAAATAAAGTAAACAAAAAAATGTCTTGTTCAAAATTTTTATAAACGAGTTTTAAATTTTCTAAAAAAGATTCTCAAATTTGTTGTCGCAGTCGCATTTACACACATGTATATATACACACATCTTCATTCAATTTATGTTTGTATGTGATTTTAGGATTAAAAATTCTAGAAGACCGATACTTAATTGCACTTAGGAAATTCGCAGAATAATAAAAGTAAATAAAAAAGTGTTAATTGAAATCAATGGTAAAGCTCGTAATATGAGACGAGAGCCAACGTGTAGTTGACCGTACGAAAACAATAACTCGATGTAAATTGGCAAAAAGCGCGTATCGAATTTCGACCGTGAAATCGTGAATGCTGATCGACGCAATTAAAACGCGGAATAAAATACCACGTATGTATGTACTAGCAATACAATCATATGTGTAATATATTGCGCGCAATTTTGCAATTAACAGTATAAGTAAGAAAACAATTAAGCAATGTTTTAGCCAGAGATTTATAAGTGCTTTGTTCCATTTTGCGCAGTGTGTAAACGGTCGAAAGAGCTAAAAACATCTTCGAAATTCCGGAATAGTTTCAAAAAGAGCCACATAATTTTAGTTTTTTTTTTTTTTTCACCGTAAAAGCAGAATGAAAAATTTTCCAGCAATGACAGGAACATTTAGAGAGAAGTTAAAAGAATGATTAAGTGAACCGTCAGGTTCACCCGTTGTTCCGGGTTTATAAAATCAAGTTTATTTTCTCTCTGTCTCTCTTTCTCTTTGTTAATCTCGCTCTTATTCTTCGCGCCGCACCACCAAGAGCCCGATCATCTTCTTTCTTAACTTCCGGCTTCTCTTTTTGTTGCAGGTTACTCCGCGGCAGCGCTTCTTGCGATCTTTTTCTGCATCCCGTTTGCGCTCAGGGTTCTCATTCACAAAGAGAATGGCGGGTGGAGCAGTTGGCTGCAAGCCTTCTATCACGCTCACCTCGAACTATTTCTCGGGAACGGATGCCTGGGTACGAGGAGGAAATGCATTTCGCCGAAAATTCCGCCACAAAATTCCAAAAACTTTCGTCCCGCTGAAAATTAAATCATTTTCCTCTTTCCCTTCATTCGTGATTTCTCTCATTAACACCGTTATCGCGAAAACGACTGATACATTGAAGCGATTCTTGGAAATAAATTTATCGCGCTATCACGACTTCTCCTTAAGCGCAAAAGAAACAGAAGATGCTTGTTGGAACTTTCTTTGCGGAGCTGAGAACTTTAGCTCTTTCTCCTATCTCACAGCTCTTATAAGTTACAGCGATGATAGCGATTAGAAGTTTACGATGCGGTGTTCAAAGAAAAGCATCGAGAAAAGAAGGGCGCGAACATTAATCTATTTTTTTGCATAAAACGACTATTGATCAACTTTCGCAAAACAAATAGTAAAAAAATTTTTTAGTTAATAATCTATGAATATAAAAAGTTATCGCGAATTATACATATTAAACGCATCGGGGAGATGACACGCAAGAGCTTTCAAAAGCGATAGCACTGTATTCGAGAGATATAGAGGTTAATTGTATGCAATAGGAGTTGGAGTAATGATGCTTCTGGCATTGACAGTGGAGCGTTATGTAAGCGTCTGTCATCCCGGACATACGCGACCACTATGCGGACCCCCTCACTTGACGGTAGTGCTCATCCCCCTGGCTACATTTCTCGTTTATCTGCCGAGTGTATTTCGAGGTGAAATTACGACTTGCCTCCTGGAACCCAGCGGCCCTCTAATCTACCAGAAGAGAGAGAATCAGTCGTTTCTCAACTCGTGGTACTATCAGGTAATTTGTACGTTTTTCTTTCGCAATTGCTCTGTTCTATTTTCTGCCGCCAAAGAGAAAAAAAATACCGCATTTAACTTCGCATTGTTTAACTTGATAACTTGAAGCACAAATATGTATTTCAGGTGTACAAAGTGGTGCTTGAGGTGGTTTTTAAAGTCGCGCCGACGATTTTTCTCGCCGGATTCAACTTGAGAATAATGATAGTGTACAGAAGGTCCTGTGAGCGACGTCGCAGAATGACCTTATCGAGAACCGTTAGCAACGACGAGGATCCCAGAACTTTCGCCGAAGAGCGAAGGCTCATTTTGCTTCTGGGTAGTACCAGTATCCTGTTCCTAGTCTGTGTCAGCCCTATGGTTATTTTGAACGTCACTCTCAGCGAGAAAAACCTCAGCAATTATCCTTACCAGGTAACGGAAATATTTTGATCATATATGTTGTTGTATACGATCAAAAATTGTATGTGATCAACACGCATTATTCCATTTGTCTTCAAACATACGGTCGGAACCATACATATTATCCTCGCTTACACAATTTAACGTAATCAATAACTTTTAATTTAATACAACTCTGTTTCCCAACTTAATTTATTATCTCGAAAGAGAGGTAATCAGAAAATTTACTTTGTCTCGCTCGCTTCTTGAATAATTGATTCAATTATCTCAGTACAATTCTCTTTTCTCTCCTCTTCTCTCTTCTTTCTTCCTTTCTCTTTCCTTTGTCTAATTCACGACTTCGTCAATTATATAAGTTATGAATTATCCGTTCATTAATTCATCGTCTTCGGTTGCAGGTGTTTCGCGCGCTGGCCAATTTGCTGGAAGTGATCAATTATTCGATCACATTTTACATTTATTGTCTCTTTTCCGAAGACTTTCGAAACACGCTGATTCGCACCCTGCAGTGGCCCTGGATCAAGAGCATGCGGAACGGCGGGCGGCTACCTATGAATCGTTCTCCGATACCAAAACCGACGACAACGACAACGACAACTCCGCCGACCACCGCGGTCGCGACTCCCGGACATCTGGCTCGCGCTAGCGTTTAACACAAATTTTTTGCCATCGATCCTACCGTCCGAACCATTCACGGTTCGGTGGAACAAAAAGAAGTACGCGAGAGAGATCAGCGTACCGTGAAACTGTAAATGTCGGGAGCAATTCAATTGTATAAGAATTTAAAAACTGTGTGTATAAAATAATCGAATATTCAAATAATATACAAGAAAAAAAACATTGATTTTACGCAGACGTGTTGAATAAATCTCGCTTCTGCGTACACGACTTGACTTTGTGTGACAACGTGATATCGCGTGATAAGCTCTTGAAAAATTCTTACGATGATTAAATTAAACAGTTGTTGTTTTTCCGACTGAAAAATAATTACATCGGAAAACTGCATCGTACTTCATCACAGTTTCTCGCCGGCACTTCTTACAACTCTCCCGATTCTTACAAGCTGATTTGCAACGGAATATGCCAACTATGTGTGTATTCTATATGCCGTCAAACTTGGGAATAGTTGCAGACTAACCGGAATACACAACCGTATTCGCGGAACATTCCTGCGCACTATGGCTAAAGTCGGGCGTGTCTACGTGGCTGCTATATTTGAACATCTGACTATTTCGGAGATCAAATCGACCGACCCGATTAAATTACGTCTGATATCCAAGCATCTCTCTCTCTCTCTTTTTCTCTCTCTCTCTCTCTCACTCTCTGTATGTATGTGTATATATTTCAACATCGAATAATGCATGATTTGACTTGCTTAGATATCGCACGGAACGCTAAAATACTCGGACGAGTTGTTGCGAGACAACGAGCAGAGTACATAAAGGCAAAGGGATTTCGTGTAAGCTGTCCCCGGAAGTCCCATGAGGCTCTTTCGCGCTCGAAAGTACAAGCTAGAAAAGTTTTCAGCGCCGTCGATCGCTTTATACGAGAACAGAGATGAGAGAGGAAAGAGGCGGAAGAACGAAAGGCGAGAAAGGAAAGTGCGGACGGAAAAGAAATGGTGCTGTGAGAGTCGCTGCAATACGTTCGTGCGGCATTGTGACGAAGCGAGTGGAATTTATCAGAATTCGCGTGGGGACGCGGCGACAAGACTTGTGCATTGGATCGCGAGCGATCGCCGTTGCTGCTGGAAATTAAAAGGAGGAGTGCTCGGGAAAACAGACAAATTGAAAAGAAAAGAGAAAAATAAATCAAAATGTATCAAGTACCTGATAGTAGACGAGATCTTTACTGCGGAATTTGTTTGAGCGAGATCGGGGTTGAAAGAAACTACGTTAATTCGAGATCACAAGAAACGAGAAGATCGAGAACGTACAAGGTGTGCCAAAACATTTACTCCGCCTAAATGAACAAGCGACAAGTTTTTGAGAAATAAATATTTTACGCTGCACGATGAACCGTCGTTATTTATTTCTATGTTAATGTTATATTAATTAAACTGCTGAGTAGTAGTGAAAAGTAACGTTCGCTGTAGGCAATCGATATGAATCTTTTATACTGCGATGTATACTCTCGCCGTCAGCCAGTGTAAGTTACGTTCGATTAAAGCGATTTATTATATAATAAATATAGTATAATCTCTCTCTCTCTCTCTCTCTCTTTTTCTCATTTCTTCGATATCGCGCGACTGGGGAATTGAATTTCAAAAGAGTCCACATATTTTTCTCCAAGTATAAAAAAAACAAAAGCGTATCGCGCAAGTTACGAACGTACAAAGCACGTAGGTCGATTTTCTAACGACAAGGAAATTGCTTACGATAATAATATTCCATCGAACTATAAGCTATCTGAAGTAAATTGCTACTTTGTGGTTACGCGTTTCCAAAATAGAGACGCTATATTTTCTCACGCCACCGGGGAATCGATAATTAAATTCGTCGCTACAGGTTCGCGCGGGTTCTTGGTTCGATGGTAATATTATTTTCGCTTGTTTGAATGTAAATTTCACAAAGAACACCTCGCGGCGCGATACTCGGTTTTCCAGACATCGGCGCACGTTTGGCACAAGCTTCGCGCGTGAACGAAGAAATAAATTCACAGAAAAGCATTTATTCTTACTTTCATATCCTTTCCCCGTAAATATCCTTATTATGCAAACAGAACGATGCGACATAAAAGTTTTGAAGAAATGTAATTTACTTAGCGATTGGGAAATATCGGCTATACATAATATAGAGAATTGTCTTGTGCGTTATTCATCTCGCGCGGTCTATTGTTTTTAATTATCTTTCTCATGAATTACGTTTCGAAAATGTTCTCGATTTTACGCGAATATCTGTTTATCTGTCTTCGTGTAATTTACTGGTTTTTAACGACCCGTAAAAATATCCACGAGATGCTTCAACGCGGGTGCTCGTCATGTCGAAAATGCAACAACAGCGGTTTGCTGTCGAACCAGATGACGAGTACGTGACGAGCGCGATATACCTAGTCTCGCGAAAGAACTCGTGCAAATAGATCGCCACGTCCAATCGTTCTTTCGGATTGTTGCACGTTACACGCGTCAGTGCGTAAAATTTTGATATTGCTGAGCGGATCGATAAGTCCTCTCGGTTTGCGTATAAAAGCCTCGTCTAAGGATAATGCGCGCATTTTTGCCATATAAAGCACGGCGATTAAACGCGCCGGGAGATGAGGAAACGAATTGAAGAAAAATTGCCGGCGGATGGTTTCCGCTCCATTCACGGCTTGCGAGAAAACGTTCGTTGTACACAAGGAGGAAAGGAGAGAAAAGCGACAAAGAGGGATCGGTGAGATTTTCGCTAAGAACGATGCGGAGCTAAGTAGAGACGGAGACCAAACTTCTCCATTGTCGGTACTACGCTATTTGGAAATAATTTAAACCGACCGTTTCCGTTTCGACCACCAATAAATACATCGCGATGGGCGAAACACATCGTATATGCATGCCTAACAACCGACCGGTAGGAGAAGAGATGAGCCTGTCATCGTTCGAGGAATAATTTAAGCGCGCGTACATCCTTGTTGGAAGTAAACGGGAAGATGTACGACGGAGCGGTAGAGAGGAAAATGTGTTACGAGAACGAATATACCGTATGTCATAATAAAATGATGAAATACGTGAACGTCGGGATATTTACTGTACGCGCTGTATATGTTCGTATAACGCTATATCAACTTCTCTTATGACAGAAAAGTACTCGTCTGATGCGTCTATATAATAAAAGCATCTCAGAGAAGCAATAGTCTGTACACGATAAACTGGGAATTGCGATCGGTGGCTCCGATGAAAGTGGTCTCGTGGTTGACTCTCATATTTTTTATGTGAATTTGTATACATAGCGTGATGTGTACAACTAACATGAGAAATTTTGCTGAATGATTTATGAGACTTAGCTTCACGAAGAAAATTCACGAGTACAACGTAGCTACCTTTTTTAATTTTAGGTCTTCACGAATTATTTTTGTCAGTTTTATCTAAAAAACGTAATTAAAAAATTTATAATTTGATATAAAATTCAAAACCATATTTTGTTTGTTTTTTATTTTTGCAAATGCAATTTAAATACGCCAGCCTACGTCCGATATACTGAATGTATCATGATGTCGGGTCACACAAGATTCCGTTCGTTAAAATCTGATATTTGCAAAATCGAAAAAACACGTTTGTCAGTGTTGGATTTGCGCAATTTATCAACAACGCTTATGTGTCAATGCGATACGTTCCGGATCGTCAAACCCGTGTCGCGAATAAAAAAGTAGCACAGACTTGGAGCGCGTTACGCATCGCACTCTGGAATTTTTGGGCGAAATGGTACCGGTCGTCGGTGGATGAGGTCATCCATGGTGGGGGCTCTTTAGGTGGGCGTCGCTGGGTCGATACAGGGTGGCTTGGTTCGCCGGCGAAGGCACACCACAGGGTGAACGGGTGTTCTACCCTACCCTTCGGTTCTACTTTCCGAACCTCTAGTCTACGCAACTCTTCTCGCACTTAATTTGTCCTTTGAAAGTGTTTCGCTTATTCATTGCTTGTCATAGGGGACGTCAATCAAAGATACACTTTGTGTTTGTTAATTATCTTTTTTAAAAAAAAATGTTGATTATATCTTTACTTGAATAACAACGCTTTTTATTTAGAAAAAAAAAAACTGCTAAGATGACATTGAAAAAGTTTAATCGTCAATACCAATTACTTGTACAGATGTGAAATTTATACAGAATTTTTGAAAATATAACTTCAATAAATATACGAGAGAAACACACATGCCTCGATGACTAATGACTATTCACACCATTATTCAAAGCACATCAATCAAGGCTTATCGATATCCGATATTTGAACATGATTAAATATTTACATCCTCATTTGACTTGTAATTAAAGAGATACCGTAAATATCCGCTCATTTATTCAATCGCAAATATTTATTTTTCCCCTCAAAAAAATGGTTTATCTACATATTGAATTACAAAATTATATAAACTTGCCTAAAAATAGTGCATAAAATTGCAAGATGTGTCTCGCTCATGAATTCGCGCAGAAATTGAAATCGTTACAGATAGCTAGTCGTCCTCTAATAAAGGGAATAACGAATGCAACCAAATATAGAAATATTTGAAACGCCAGAAATAAATACAAAACGATACAAGCTACGGGCAATTCGATTTTGAATTGCCGCGTAATATTACACGCGAGGATGGAAGTCATGTCTAATCATTATTGTTCGAAATTTATTAAGGTGCAAATCAGAATCACGCCCGCGACCCGGACACAGACTGCTTATACCAGAACGCGGTAGCGCAGCACGTGCGGTGAAATTGGCGGTCATGCAAATTGCTCGCGTGTACTTCGCTGGCCGTAGTTAACGACTCTTCCGGTCGGCTAGATCTCTAACGAAGCCGACTTGCTCACGCGCATTTCTCACACGCTTGCTGATAAAGAAGCGACTGCACAGCGGCAGATAGAGACACTCATACCGGAAACAGTTCGATAAATCAGAGCCCGACATTATTGGACCGTCGACTTGCTCCTATTCTAATTGCCATCGTCGAGAAGACCCGTATGCTAACTCGCAATTACCTTAACCGTCAGGAAACGTAAATGAGGCGGCATTTACATGCCTTAGAATTGCATATCGAGAACTGACAGACACAATACACTGATTGCGTCATTGACATGTCCAGTCACATCGATCGCTACTAATCAGTATCAAAATCTTATCTTATGAGAGAACAAAGTCTTTGTTTTTTTAGAATAAAAAAATACTATAAGTAAAATAATTTTATTATTAAAACAAAATTTGCATTTAACATTTGAAAGTAATCAGATTTATACCGTCGCCGGATTTCGGCATTTCACTTTTAACAAGCACAATAGAAAAACCCCCCCAAAAAAACGTACAACGTGGAGAAGAGCAAAATATTATTATATTTCTACGCTTTCTTTATTATTGCACACGTACACAGGAACAAAACATTTATATAAAATATCGGAATTGTTCCGGTTAAATCAGATACAAATGATGATTACCTTAATTCAACAAATTTATATTTCTGTAAAATGTATTCTATATTTCGGTGAAAATTAAATTCACAGCTGAACTTATATTACAGCTGAATTTTGCGTGTCATATTTCTCTCGAACTAGAATGACGTTTAAACGCGTAAAAACTCTACATGAAATATCTTTCACTTAATCCGCGAATTGACCGAGAAGAGCGGAATTTAATGCAAATAAGTGAATTAGTTGGCGAAGTATTACGACGCGTGGGCGGTTTGAGTGGTGAACTGTTGGAACTCACGAAATTTGAGTCACCCTCTCTCTAGGCATGTGTGTGTGTGAAAGGAGACCGACCGCTAACGTTTGGCCCTCATTTCGAGCACAGAGACCTGCAAACACGGGACCAAACAAAGGGCCAAACGGTGTTGCCACTGACTACGTAATTCTCCGTCAGCCTTGAATTTGACCGCGGACAGCAAGTGTTCTGACGAAGATAACTAGTTTTACTCGCTGCAATTTATCTCGCAATTAACACGGTCAAGATAACTCGTTGCGAACGCTCTTCTCTGCAGTTGCAAGAAATAAACGCGACGTGCGCAAAGCCATGTGTGGGTGGTCTGATAAAGATCCTACAAAAATTTTCACTCGGGACATTGTAACAATTTAATTTTGCAGACGCGCGCGGAGAAACTATCTTCCTGGCTCAAATCAATTTTTTCCACAGAGATCTAGTTATGCAACTTACACGGAAAAAAAAATAGTTTCTACCACAGTTTGCTGAAATGAATTTGCTGCTGTAACTATAAAATTTCCTATTACATAGAAACAGTTTGCTGATATTCCTAAATATGTCGACATAATAGCAAAATATGTATGTCTTGTAGCACTAAGAGCTTAGGTGTCCATAATACTACCAAAATTTAGGAACCACACCTAATTTTTAGCTGTGAGAGCTAACTTTTTTTTTCCGTGTACGTACATTTCTCAGCATTTCGAACTAATCTGAGTTTTGTGAACTTTTGTAAGCACTTTTCTTGTTACGCGAAAATATTTCAACGGTTTTAAAGCGTTACTTTTTGCAAAATTACACAAGAGAACAAACGAGCAAAAACGGGAAATGTAAAATATGATTATAAATTCAAATAATACACCGCGTAGCAAATACTCTTAAATTATTAGATGGAACGGAGTCGGTGCGACGATCCGCAGGTGCGTTTTAGTACGGATTCAATTTTCCGCTCGAAACATCTCCCCGACTATCGTCCTCTCCTCGCGTTCATATCGTCGCTTTTCTCGGTCACCTCCGGCAAATAGAATCATATATCCCTTCAAGGAGCAGGAGTCACGTTTCACCGCGATTTATTTCTTTGGCGAATCGAGCGGCTTTTACCACAATCTTCACACGATACCCAAGTAAGACCGCCAAAATACCACGAAGATTTCCGTTCGACTTCAATTTGTCATCTTACAACAGAGAAAATTTTGCACCACCGGAACTTTCCACTTTTTATTACTCATGCACAAAAAATTAGATAGATGATGCGAAACCAATGAGTTTTAAAGAGGAACTCTCGAATGTATTCGATTAAAGTTCGGAAACAGTTTTATGTGCAAAAAAAAATAATAAATAATAAATAAAGATAAATATCAATGTGTGTAAAATATTTAAACATTAAATGAAACTAAATAAGTGTACTTTTTTATCATAAGATTCAGGAAAGTTAAGTATCTTCTCTCTTAGAATTTTTAAAATATAAAATTGAAAGCGTAATACTCTCGCGTGAAAGAGAAAATATAATAAGATGAATATTTATAAAGTTTTATAAAGAAAAATACACACACAACGTACACACAATTCTTTTAAATTTCGGCAAATCCATTTTTTTCCTCATTAGCGCGTTTTTATCCGGCGACTGGGTGGTCGAAGATACGATTTTAATTTCGCGGAACGCAGCAAAAATTGTGTTCCTGCGAACGTATTTTTTGTCTCCTCCTTTTAAATCTTAATGAAGCAACTACGGGACTACAAAAAAAATGTATTAAAAAGATAAAGCGTCATATTTTGTTAAATAATACAAATCTTTCGACATCCTATCGAATTGCGAAAGCGCTCGTTTCTACGAGCAATATGAGCATTAACTTTCCGTGAAACGTGACGCAATTTGCGCGACATTTGTCACGATACCAAATGATACTAAAGTATCATTTCCGCACCGCTGCATCAATTATCGCGCGAACAGTACGGATCGAAGAAGAATCTCCGCGCTCTACGGTTTGAAATTGAGGAATTGTTCTGCGGAGGAAAACGAAACGGCCATCAGCGAACGAAATGGCGAGCTGCAATTATTCACCGTAGAATTGCGACGTCTGTAAACAATTTGACGAATCGCGTTTTACTCTCGCATCACGCAAGTGTATCTGTTATTGCCGTCCACATTGTTGTTGATCGCAGCTCCATTTTCACGAAGGAGAAAATCATTGACGTTTTTATGCCACGAGAATTGCCACGATAGGACTTGCTGACGTGCTCCACTTTTGTTTGCGCTTTTATGCGTTGTCGTTCAATGTATGTCGTCTCGAGCACTTTTGTTATTACTTTAGGAGAAGGAAAGGGATGAGGAGAATGCTATGACTCTTTCAGAAGTTGAAACGTAGGATAGAGTTGCGACGTTTGTGACTGACCGAAACCGCGAACCAAATCAAATCGCACCAATCATGGTCAGCTGCACTGCAATTCGGATCGTAGCTCGATTTCGAGAGAGAGAAAACGGGTGAAGCTTTTATCTCGAGAAGATAATTAGACGCTGAGAATTTATTACCGCGGAGTAACGTGATTAAATTGCTATCACGAAGGAACATTAAAAGTAAAAGATATCGTAGATAAGAAGAAAATCGAATCATCACGAATAATTGCGAATAATTGTACTGCTGTCTCTAATAATAATAATAATAATAATAATTTTATTTTTTTTTGTTGAATATATGTATTGTGAATGTCAAATATATATATATATATATATATTGAATATATATCGTATTTAGAAAAATGTAACTTTTTTTTTGAGTATCGGTATAAAGATAGAGCGACGATTGAAATAAATCGTTTTATCATGAAACTAACGTATCAGCGGCATCGCGCAAACTGTTTCTTTTATTCATGGATCAGTCGGCGAATTCGCGACGATTTAGATCCATCACGTCGAGGCGAACCCGAAGAAGTTTCAACGCAGCACGAAAATCTTCTACCGGTGAAATATACTAGTCGAACATCCGTATCTTCTTCATTCCCTTAAGTTTCACTCGATCGAAAAATGTTATTTCACGAACGCATCCTTTTTTTCCCTACGACATCGCAAATCCCGACAACCAACGGGGTTTTTTTTTAAGTGATTGATCTCATTACGATAAAACACCGCCAAAAAATTCTTTCTCCCTGTGTTCCTTCTTCCACGTGCTTTTATGTTCGTTCCCTACTTTGTATTCCTCCTCTCTGTTTTATTATCAAAGTAAAGCTATCGGGATAACGCGATTTTTATGAACCTTTCGCGAGATTGTTCTTTTTAATAGCGCAATAGTAATTGATGTTGTTAAATCATAAAAAAAACTTCAAAAAAGTCTCGTCATGCTTTTCTCGCGTTTCGTTATTTTTACTCTTGATCACGACATGTATTATTTCATTTTTTTTTTGCGAAATAAACCGGTATTTTACAATAGTGTACTTGCGTTTTACTGGCTGGTTATCTTTTTTGTTTGCTAAACATTTTCAACGCAGAAGCGATGAAAGCAAAGCGTAAAATGAGACTTGTTACAACGCGTAATAAAGTTGGAAAAACGAAAGCAGCAAACACACGATAAAGTAAAGTAACTGGATATAATAAAAAGCAATAATAAATAATAGTAAAAAACCAAAACGCGAAATTTTGCCAAATACGAATATTCGGTCGGGCTAATTTCATAATGGAAGTTTACGAGACGCGACGGTACCAAAGTTTCTCCCCCTAAAGTGTCTGGGTGCTAACAATATTTGTAAGACGAGAATTATGGTCAAATGTAAGTGAAGAGGTAAAGGCATCCGGGCACGCGCGCGCGCAAAGGAAAAAAGATGAAAGAGATGAAATAGCAGAAACGAATCCGCGAAAGAGAGACGTAGGCGCAAAGAAGCGAGCGCGCAAAAGAGACAGAAAACGTTGCTTGTGCGAGAAATCGAGACGGAAAAATTTCCTCCACACACGGGATGAACGGAGAAAACGAATCAAAAAAGCACGAGAGAGTTGGAAAATCGGGAAAGGAAAGACAAGCGTGGAAACGACGCAGAACGAGCGCGATCGACCGAGACGGCGAGTATGCGAGTTCAACAGAGAAGGAGAAAGCGCGAGGAGGATCGAAGGTGACGGCGGAATCGGAGGAACCGGCGCGGGAGGGCGGATAGCATCCTCCTCAGGTTTAGAGTGGTGCGCTTGCGCTATCGTAACCTAACACACTTCCACATAATATCATCGCCGAGCCAGTCTGACGCCAGGCGCCGCGACGCTATGACGTCACCGATCCGCGCTTCGCCGACGAACGTATCTCGCAAGCGGTGAGAACTCATGAATGAAACCCTGTTCACCGCCGAGTCTACGAATACGGTCCTCGTAAAGGAACGCAAGCACAGGTTCGGATCGACACAAACGCAAAAACGGGGAACGAGAATCCTCGTTTCCCGAAACACATCCGGGACCAATTGGCAAACGGATTGGTTCGCCAGTTCGAGGCAACGTCTGGTTCGTCAGCTTGCGTGTGACAAAACCGATCCTGCGCGAACGATCGAGCCTCAATACTATCGCGTTGAATCGCGTTGCGACAGGTCGAGATTATAATTCACCTCCGCCGCAGACGAGCTTCGATCGAGCGAGTTAAATTACATCGAAGCACGATATTGACTGTATCTTCATTCCATCTGTCCGGCATGATCTCTCTTGTTGTTAGTGATGGTTTCGAGCACGTTTTGCGGATTACATGCAACCGCTCGTCGGCTACCTTCCTCGTCTTTGTACGACACCGTTCTCCACTACTCTATCGACGTTTCCGTACAAAAGTCGCGCGAGTTGCTATTCGTGACGACGGGCACCCTTTATCGCGATCGAGTGCAGCTGTGGACACACGACGCTTAAGTGCACTTTGGAGAGTGGCTTGTCGATATCCGGTTTGTTTTATGAATGGGCGCCACCAAAAGAACGTCTCTCGATAATGAGCTTTGCGCGACCGTTCTCCGGAGGATTCATAAACTGGAGAACGCGAAATTGCGCTCGATCCTACGTCCCGTTTCCCGTTTAAGCAACTTTCGCGTTTCTTCCGCGTTTTTTTTAGCGCTCGAACGTACATTTCTTTTCTTCGCCAATCGTCTCGTTGTTCCCCGCGACTCAATGATAATGACGTAAAAACGCGTGCTCCAGGTATCATCGCGAGGTCGTGCCGCACGAGGTCAAGGGTGCAGCACGACCTCGACCGAAAGTTAATCATTTGACAAGGTTCCCCTCTCTCTCCCCTCGTCTCCATCTCTCGCCGCGGCCTTCGATATTCCCGAATTTCGCTGGGTCATCCCCGCTGCTGTGTGGAGTTGCCCGGCGCGTCTCTCTCTCATGCAGATCGACTTCCGCAATTTTGCGACGCGACGATGCGCCGTGTGAATCAAATACCTACCCGGTATCGCGCGTTTATACCTCCTTCTCCCCGCTCTCTTCTTTCCGAAACTTTGCGGGGGAACCCCGACGCGACGTTACGCGCCACCGCGAAACGCGACGTGATATGAATTCGTATTAGCCGCGACCGATCTGCATTCGGATTCATGAGTTTCTCTTCCTAGTGAGATCTCACACTCGGCGGTTATTCGCTTCGACTATCCTCCACGTCATTCAGACGCGTGAATAAGATCTCTCCATACCGGGTGGTTGCGGCGAAGCCCAAAACTTCGCCGTGTAAGTTCATCTCACGTTCTCTCCAACGTTCGTCCCACATCTCTCCAACAAGAGAGACCATGCGCGTCTCTCATTCGTCCATTGTTATATACCGTCAAGTTTTTCGCCAAATTTTCACATTGAACGAACATTCGTTTCGAATCTCCATATTTCCTTTTCACGTTCAATTTTCCCGCAGCTTTTCCTTTCGTTTCAAATTTGCCTTCATTTCAATCGCAACTCAATTAATCCGCTCGTTTGCACCGAGAGACGGAGGAAATTAGAATGATAGAAAAAAAAAAACGCGAGAAAAAACTCAATTAATTATTCAACGGCACTAATGACGTAATAAATGCACCGATGCATATCTCAAGTTCTTATGTGCCGATGATCGATCCGCGTAGACTGACAAAAGTCATCATTTCGAGAGCAATAATTATTTATACATTCTCTGCTGTCAGTTTTGACGAACATCAAGTATAATCTAAACTTAATTGATATCTTGCTTATGAATATTCAAAGAGTGTTTTGATTGAAATGTGTGTCTAATAAAAGTGTGTTTATCTTATGATAAACAACACCATCGTTCTTAAACGTTAATTAAAAGTATGTCGCGGTAGAATAAGAAGAAAAAATTAACGCTATTGCTTTCAGGTAACAAACAGCGCTTAATAAATTTTTTTTATAATATGCGGCAAAATATTGGATTAAAAGGTATCGCGATCGTAACGGCGTAATCAAATCGTGACAGCAAGAGCTAAGAAAAATATACGTTTGCTGGAAATTCTATTTAATCCTAAGGTTGATGATATACGCTATTTGGCCTTTAAAACCCTTACACATAATAGCCCTGAAGGGATTGGCTAGTGCAAGTTCTGAAAGCAAGTCAGTACCGGTCGTCTCGCGTTACGGCCTTTGAAACTCCGATATGTTCGTTCTGAGACACGATGTATTTCCGTCGATAACGCTATTTCGCGTTTGCACTTCGATATCTTCGAACGTATTTCGAAAAATTTGTCCAATTCGTGAAAATTTGATAAATGTCTAATGACTCTCAATTCAAGCGAGAAAAAAAAATGCGGAAATTAAGAACAGATTTATCGAGCGCGCACCTACTTCGACAAACTTTTCCAACATTTTCCAGGGTGCTCCTCCGTCTTAATTTCCCGATACGATCTTCGCGAATCGAAGCTCGTCGGCGTACTTCAGAACTTCTCCGAGCGGCGCGATTAATGATTCCGCGAAGTTTACCGCATCGGAAAATTATCACTCACTTAATGTCCGTCTGAGAATTACGATTCTGAGATGCGCAGCGTCAAATCTTTAATTTCTGCGATGACATTTTGAAAGGTCGTGAACCGTGGTCGAGAACGAAAGGAGAGAGAGAAAGAGAGAGAGAGAGAGAGAGAGAGAGAGAGAGAGAGAGAGAGAAATGAAAAGCTGCAGGCGCGATTCACAGGAGAGTTCGCGCTTTCATTAAAATAAAATTCTGTCTTATCTTTCTTCGCAGAAAAAGCAATATCATCGAAAAGAAAATCTACGTAGAAGGCATATCATCGCATCGATCCCGTTAATAAGACAATATATCGTCGAGTTATGTCGAAGTCACGTCGTAATTAAATTGATTAAACATAGCCGTGCCGCGTTCCACGCGGACGAAAATTAAATCAAACCCCATTGTTCTCGAGGCTTGCACGCGCTCTCGTTCGCAACGCAAATTCACCGCGAGCCGTCAAGCGTTCTCGAGAGATCGAAGAAAGTTTCCGCCTTCTTCCTGCAAAACACACCTCCAAATTGAATCCATCGGCGAACTTCTCGAGACAGAGGCGAACTGGCTCGACTCGACGTGAGGGAGGAAGTTGCAGGCAAGGAAACTTATCGAGTGGGATTCGATAGGGTCCCCGCTCGACCTCGAAACAAGAGGAGTTCAAGGAACTCGTGAAACATCGTTTTAGACGAGACACGATTGTGTTCGAGCGTGTCTAGAAATTTTTATCGAGAGCGACGGAATTTTTCCGTCTAGCGCCGTGAGAACAACGTCGATTCTGGCCGTCGAATAAGCTTCGGAAAAATTAACTTTATCTCTCTGGCACGTTAATCGCGGGATTCGATGTAATCCGGGAGATGCGAGCTGGACGGTGAAAATTCCAAAGAAATATTCAAGAAACGAACAAGATCTTCGATTCGACGACCGGTGTAACTCGTTAAGTCCGCAGTTCCGAGAATCTACGAACATGGGCAAGAAGAACAGCAAACTCAAGCAGGATACCATCGATCGACTCACCACCGACACGTACTGTAAGTAGTAACAACTTGCCATCGCGCGCCGCCGTACCAGCTGCTTTATCATTGCGTTGTCGCGTACAGACGCGTGCAAACTCGCTCACTTGATAGATTAATATAACGGAGTCGCGTGTGTACCTAATTATCGCGATTTCCATAAATTTCTCGCTTACTGCCAGTGTGTGTTCGCCAGCTCGCATAAATCCCGAGTTAAAATCGGTCTTTGAGACTCGCTCCGCTGAACGGAAAAATGTTCCTTTCGGTGCATTCTTGAAAAAAGTAGATCTTCCGAGTCGTGTGCATTCTTTCCGAGCGAGCTGGGGAACGGATCGCGGAAAACCGAAAGACGTAGAGATTGGCTTCTCTCGAGTTCTTCCGACTGACCTACTGCGTTATTTTGCCAATCCTTCCGTGTTGCACTCAAGGAAACCCGCAGCCTCCAACGTCGAACGATTATTATCTCGTCTATTTTTTTTTCTTTTTTCAGTCTCTCTATCTCTCTCTCTCTTTCTTTCTCGTTTCGCGCTTTCTTTCTGCACGCTTTCCGCGTCTGCACGCTAAGCGCGCATCGATCGCGCGGTCGTTCAATACGCGGCCGCAACGACGTACTTTCCTTCATTCGATAAAACGCGTTTAATCCATTTCGCCGTTGCAAAGTTTGCCCTGTCGGAAACGATGGCATACCGCCGCCGCCGCCAACGCTCGCCACGCCACGTGGCTTTGTTTCCGTTGAACGAGAGCTACGTTTGATAACGAGCGCGAACGCCGTCTACAATCGGAATTGCATCTCTCTCTTTGTTTGATCTTTCAGTAGAAAAGTTGCAACGCCGCGGTATAACTCATATTTACCATCAAGTTTTTCATATTTATATCAACGTGTTCATATACCGAGGTAAACAGTCTGTTTGTTGTCGTGGCGCAAGTTAGGTTCGACTCGGTAAAACGCGAACGTTTTTTAAAAAAAACAAATATCTCGATAACGAACCCGACAGTGCTGCCGATCGTTTTCCCGTAGAAAATCGGTCGCGCCGACATTAATGGCCGACTAAAATATTACGAGCGTCGAACGCGCGCGCAAAGATAGACTATAGGTGGGCGAGAGCTCTCGGCGAGATTCATTCAGGTGAATTAAATGCAAAGGGCGAGCGTGTTTTTTGGTTCGGATATTTCCAAGTGACCTGCGTTCAACTCGGCAATCGATGACGACGGATTTCACACAAACCCTTATTGAGATTTTCGTCCCTGACCGGCGCAAAGCAAATTCGATTAATAGACATCACGTACGGAGGTGCAAATTCGTTTGGCAAACGAATCTCGTTTAAGCGACACAGCAATGGTCTACGGACAAGCTAAGTCAACAATTTCTTATGTCTCCTGTCTTTCCTAAAAGAGACTCTTGGATATCGATTATGTTACAATTAATGACAACAGAACGAACGGCTCTCCTTTTTCGTCATGTTCAAATGTTTACATACGCGTCACAAAAAGAAAAAACACTAATTACAGCGGGAAGACATTTATTGGCTCGCACACAAAGGCAATTATACTCTTTTGATTTTTTTTTTTTTAAATTATGAAGTATTAATAGAAAATATAAATTATTTTACAATTAATTGAAAAGCGTATTTTTATTGTTATAAGTTTCTAAGAAAAAGAGATCACTTATTTGCAAAGTATTAAGAGCACAACAATCTATTCTCTATTCAATGAAAAAAGAATTTATATCGGATATGGAAAGGAAGTGCGCACAAAATCTCCGACAGAGTCTAGTTTAGCAGCTCTATTTGCCTTTGCACTTTTTTATATCCGTCAATTTCCGTTTAACTCAATCGATTGATTGACCCAGTATAATAAAAAGTTGTATATACTATATGAAATAATATTACTGTGAAATAAACGTCAAGCGCGTTGGTTGCAAACACAACTTTATCAAACCACGTAGTAGCTTCTCCGCCGTAGTTTCACACCTGCGTCAATAATATATCTATCAGCCAACATTTCTGTCGCTAAGTTATAAACATTTTATGTTGCACGTTGTCGCACGACGGCGCTTTGATCTCGATAACCGAAATAAATCGTATCAGGGGTTGAATGTACAGCGTTTTACACACAAATAAAAACGTCACATTTATCTCCGTTTTCTAACAAGCTATCACATCGATGTGAAAACATTAATTTAACTTGAAATACAGTTTGGTTATCATATATTTATCGATATTATCATTATATATATATAACGTGGCGAGAGAAAAGTAATCGAATTTCAATCAATTCATCGTACATAGTTGTCTCTCAATCTGTTTAAACACACAATGAGAATTTACGTCGTCATCTTGCGTCCGTCAGACACGCCTTGTAATAACGTATAATATGAATTAACTAAACAAAGCGCACCACCGTTTGCCGGAGCTGTCTGTATAGCTAAAAGCGTTTATTCCACGGCGCACGGTGTCGACAGAAAAATGTAATCTCATCCGACAATATTCTCTGCTTTCTCGCTTTTCTTTCGAGTACAGAGAGTGGCTCAACGTGCCGTAAAAAACTTGCACATCGTGCTCGTTTACCGTTTCTGTCTCCGCCATACCCACATGTAGAAATAAAACCAGATGCAACTTTATACAAACCGCGCCTAACAAACAGGCGACAGGCTTTTTTCCCTTTGAATCGTTTCCCGAATGATATATCCTAACTGCTCGTCCGCGCTTTTGTATATTGCGGATAAAAAAATAATTCCCGTTTTTTTTTCTACCACCAATTTGAGCAGCTCACGCGCGAATAAAATCGCTGTTAAATAATTTTTCTTTTAAAACGCCGGTTTTTGCGTGACATTTTTTATATAGAATTTGTCGCAAACGTTCTCTCTTCGCTTATATTAAACATTTTTTATCTGAATTTTACATTATTTATAGCTGTGAAATAACTGTGATTTTCGAAAAATATTGATGAGAGAAACGCTTGATATAATTAATTTTCTCCGCGACTCAAATAAATATCGACAAAATTAAAATCAATATTTTGTTTTTGGATTAATATTTTCAAATGATTGAAGTATTTCATAAAGATGCGAAAGACTCTGTCATAATTGTATCAGCTTTTTAGTCAGTCAAACACTGTGACGTTGTGACATTATTCTCTTTTTTCATCTCCGAACAAATTTATTAATTTCCGATCAATTCGATACAGCACAAAACAATTGCTAGCGATATGTTAGCCTTGATATTCCTAAAGTAAGTTACAAAAGGGATCAGTCAATAAATTCGAACGTGATGGATAGTCTCAATCTTCAGGTTGACGCGGGACGCTTAAACTCTTATTAGATCATCGTGGAATACATTTAAAAGAAGCTTTATCGAAGATGCGCACGCCTCGTTGATCAGTTGCGAGGCCGAAAAATCTGCTGTCGCGTTTATTATTCCACTTGAGCGAGTAGATTTTTCAATGATCTCCTTGCTCGATAACTTCCGGTTCATACACAATTCTTTGTTAGAAAAAAAAAAAAAACAAACGGTAACTCTCGAGGTCACTTTGAGGTCACTCGATAAAAAATTCAATCGTGGCAGGTCTTCGTGCTACGAGCACATTTAATTGCCATAAAAAGTTTTGCATTATTTATCCCACGAGAATAAGTTCGAAAGTTGCGCTAAGCGCACACCATATACTCTTAACTTTAATTACGATCGAGAGTAGAGACTTTTATAAAGAGAGAGAGAGAGAGAGAGAGAGAGAGATGTACGAATTTGATCTACGCGCGTCGGTTTTCCGCGTTTAACTCCGTGGAAAATAGCTGTCTTATCCGAGAACCAATTTAAACGTCCGCAATTTCTGAACAAGACGATCGATAGAATGGATCTTCGTAAAATTGTTCACGGACGCACGAATAGCTTCATAGATACGTCGGGGGAGGGGGGGGAGAGGGGAAACACCGAAAAAGACGATCCCGCACGAAATTTTATCTGAGATTAGAGAGCGAGTTTTTTTTCGACAATAGGTCGTCGTCGATTACAAAAAAAAAAAAAAAAGAAAAAAAAAACAATCGATGCAACGGCGAGAAACTCGAGGCCGTATCGGTTTTCGCTCGTTTCTCAATACTTTCATTCGCTGAATACCCCAACAGAATGTTAAAAATAATTGCGAAAGAGGAACGTGTTACACGCCTCTTCGATTATGGAAATCGGAGACATGCACGGAGAAGCATTAAAATGGAAATGTCGATGGACAAAACACGACATAAATCATAAAACGGATAAAATACGCGTACAGGAGAATGTAATATTCGTAACATAAATCGTGACGAGTGGACGCCGCTGGCGATGTCGCCGGACATAATGTTGGCGTTGCATTCAAATTATACACTATCGATGTAACGTCTCCGAGCGGCGAATGTCCGTTGTCTGTCGCGTATGAATCGGTTTAAATGCGATAGCGCGCGCGCGAACGATTGTTCTACGTGTATTGTCTCCTATAGTCTAAATTACTGGCGTGAATTTGCCAGTCGGACGAACTTGTAGGGAAGGTTCACGTTATAGGAATAATAACTGTGAAATTACGAGCTATTACGGATTACAACCTCGTTAGAAGCCGGTCACGAGGAATTTCACGCGCGGACGCACCTTTAGCCGGACACCGTCGTCCTTTTGGATTATAAATTCAAGCTCGGCTGGTTACGCGCGTAATCCTATTCAACTTTCGAGCCAAGTGAGCGTACCGAGCTAGCGAAAAACGGGATGGATTTCGTCGTTTGCACCGACGTCGTAGTTGCTGCGAATAACAAACGTTCGTTAAATATTAATCGCGCGCCGAAACGTGACCTTTTCACGAACAAAATTACAAATATCTGCCTTTCGCCCGTATAATGCTAACAGCATTTGAAGGCGGCACGCATGTATCTTTGATAAAATTCAAATTAGCAGGCACTCTTGACATAAATGGGAATATCTATTATAATCTAATTGCGGCGTAATGCACCCTCGTTCGCGATCATTATATTTAACGTGATCAAATTTACTGCAGCTTTC